GTTATAGAATTTATTTGAACGAATTTAATGTATGGTAATTAATTTTAATACAATAAATGTAATTTAATGTGATTAAATTTAATTAGGAGACATTAATGTAATCGATTAATTTTAATACAATAAATGTAATTTAATGTGATTAAATTAAATTGGGAGACATTTGATTAATGTAGCATGCCCTGGGCATCACATAAAACTGCATCCACGCTGCCTTGCGTGTTTTTGAGCAAAAGGCTTGGCCCACCACTTATAACTGATGGTTGTTGTCAGATTAGGTGTCCGGATGTAAAAAATTTTCCCCAAATTATTCTAAAAATTAATAGCAAAGAAAACAACGTCCTACCTCAGGGGAACTGAGTTTCTGGATGCTAAACGAAGATTTACATTTAGACTATCCAACAAATGTGTACCAACAGATTCAGTTATTTATACATTGTTTTAACTTACAGTCAAATGTTGCAACAATTTATTCTAAGTGCACTAGTAAGAATATTTGGGATTGGTTACATAATTTTTAGCCAATAATCCTGGAGCAATTTCTCTTCAGTCAACATTTTTTAATCCTTCCTTAGTTGAGTTCAAAAAATAATAAGACCCAAAGAAACTTGAGCTAAAACATACAACTTTACATAATTTTTAGCCAATAATCATGGAGCAATTTCCCTTCCAGTCAACATTTTTTGATTCTTTCTTAGTTGACTTCAAAAAATAATAAGACCCAAAGAAACTTGAGCTAAAACATACAACTTAATTGACATTTTTAATAGTCATTTTTTTGTTACATACTAATTTCACCACGCCCAATCTATTTCAGACACACCCTTTCTAAATTATATTATGTGTATGTCAATTTAGTTAGAGATAGCTGGTAAGTACACAAGGAAGTGAATACTTGCTCAATCCTTTAGTAGTCATACATAATTGGAAACAAACTAATGATTGAATTTGTTCTTTTTCAAAAAAGATAGCATATTTTTGTGTTTTTTAAATAATATACTTATTTTAATTACCAGCAGAAAGCAATTATCTAATCAATTATATATTATTATTCATTTACAATACACAAACTACTAATTTATTTTATAACTTGTAAAACAAAAAAAAGGTATTGTATTACATAACAATTAATTAAAAAAAACTTAAACTAAATGATCTGTTTGTCTAACAAACATGATTGGACTTTTTTCAATTTAAATACAACATAAAAATTCTTCTGTGATAACTGATAACATAAACATGTGAGTAACACTTTTTAAATTTAAATTAATTAAAAATTTAAAATTATATTTTTGTTAGGAAACTTGAAACTACCAACTGTCCAATCCAATGCAACATATCACACTTACGTTACTATTTAAGGAAAATATTTATTTTCGGTTAAAATTTTTCAAATCAAAGACTGAAGAATCATATGCTAGTTGATTTGAAATATCCATTTTTATTTGCTTTGTTGACTTTTTTGGATTGAGTTCTGTTGTTGATTCATGTTGTTAGAAATTGTAAAAATCAATATAGCGAACAAACACAAAATGACAACCATTCTTAAAAAATAATAGCAAACTAACACGATTTATTTATTTTTACTTATTGACTATCTTATCGCACAATTTTAAAAAACTTAAATTGCAAATGGAAACATGAAACTGTTCGTAGACATCGACTTGTCCGCCATTACAAAAAACGAGTTCTGTTGTGTGTAGCTGCGCGCACCGTAGTATTGAATAAATTATATCAATGAGAAGCTCCATATATTTTCATAATTTATTACAAAACCTAAAATAATGAGTCGCTTGTTTATATATGGAAAATTTATATGCTGATGAATGTTCGTCTAATAATTCAATTATATTTTTATTGAAAATATTTTTCGTTCTCTGGTAAATTATGTAGATCAAATTTATTCCCATCATGAAAAAGGTGATGGACTTTTTGCATAGAGCGTCGAAAGTATAAAAAGCAATCATTCGTCGTTTTAATCGATGACCTGCCAAAATCAACAAGAATCTGAAAAATAGCGACCCGGGGATAAACGTTGAACTGGACTGGTAGTGGCTAAATGGGATTATGGTAGTGGCCAGTGTTCTAAATTTGATTATTCTAGTGGCCAAATTTGAATGAAATATAATTAATTAAATTATATTTATCGTTGCAGACATAGTATGTGTACACAAGATTTGCTTTTTGTAGGCCACTGAAAAAACAGTTGTAACCCCTTAACTATTCAGTCATTTTATTCAATGTAGGTATAATATTGTAACAGATTCTGCGTCTTGCAAATTCTGAGTTTTTTAAATAAAAAAATGATAAAAGAAATGTTTCGGAAAGATTTTTGAAAATGAAAACATCATTTTACGTCTCAACATTAATTTTTAATCGATCATGATTTTTGTACATATGAAGGAAATTCGATTTCATTGTTGCTGTTTTGCAAAAACATCTGGTGCACAAAGTTTGGTAGCCAACAGTCGGTTCAAATGTGGCTTTTAACATTTAAAAGTAATTTTCTTGCGCATTTCATCCTATATTACACTTTTATTAATTTGAAAGCTCTATCGACCGACACTCGGCTTAATCAAAAATTTCGTTGAGTGTGAATGTGTTATCTATATTCTTTCTTAGTAATTAGAATTAATAAAAATGTTAAAATATTATAGATGAAACATATTTTTGATTTATGATAGTGTAAAATGATAAAATAAAATTTACAAAACAGAAAAGTTAGGGTCTAACAAAAATCAAAAACTGATATCTCTAATCTAAATGAAAGACCCTTAAAGTTTGATATTAAATTATACGCGTAGAATGTTAAACTGGAATTGCCCAATCGTATCTATTCATATTATGCGATCTGCCGAAGCAAAAGAACGAATGACGTCATGAAGCAATAAAGTTTGATGCTGGGAGACGTCAGCAGTGCAAAAATACAGTGTAATGACGTAACTGCTTCCAGGTCAACGTTAAGATCAAACACTTCTTTTCACTTCCTACTTGTAAGTCAATAATTGTACGATAATGAATTCAAATCCCACAAAATCAACGGAAATTGCTCGCTTTCTTGACGAGTTCAACGCTTCATTTTTTTAGATTTATCAGTTCACTATAGTTTTTGAGTCATTTCTTAATAATTAATTTAACTAATTATTAATAATTTATTATTATTTGAGTGTGTGTGTGTGTGTTTGACAATGTTTTCCAGCATTTGACTAACATGCATATCATACTAAACGGTTAGATAAAATGCTGTGTATCAAATTTGTAAACCATTTTCTAAAAAAATAGGTAACGGTTGACGGGATTTTATGAAATGCAACGTTCTTAGAGCTAATTGGGAAAAAGTTACTTTTTATAAAAACTATCTTAGTTGTCAAGTATGTTTCATTCACATTCATGCCACTCTTTATCCATCGTCACTCCTGGGATAAGGCTTTGAATTATTGACCTCCATTTTTTACTATGATGACGAATTTCATTTTATATGCAGTGCAACTTTTGTATCACCCAGTTGAATTTCTCATCATCCTATAAATCTCGCACTCTCACTATATTTACATTCATATCCTGCAACCTTAAATTCACCACATCTTCATGTATAACAACACCAATTAAAATAATTAATATCTAGCACCGTCAGCCCGTTTACATGATTTGAATTTGAACCTCGTATTCTAACACTAAACCTGTTTCAATCCATTCTCATACAATGTACGCGCAGTGCATCTACAATGTTGCATTCATTTATATTTTCGATGTCAATTTATTCTGAAAAACATTACATTTCATCAAAGAGGTTTTTCTAGTATGATTCACATGACCCACATCACCATTCATGAATGTTTCCAACATCTATTTGTTTAACAGTTACCTCTTTCATCAACATCTTAATGCATTCATCTTTTTTGATTACGATTACTAAAATTAATATTATAATTACATTTTTTGTGAGAATTTGTAACTCTCAATTGTCCTATCAAAAATAACCACCCATTTGAGAGAGAATTTAATTTATTTTCTAATCACTAACAGTTGAAAGTTTCATAAAAAAATGGGCTGAGGTTCAGAATTGGTCAAATTTAAATTTTGGTTTAAATATGCTCTGATTCATTTTAATGAACCGCCAAATATTGAGTTGCTAAAATAACCTTAATAATAATATCACTTGCAATGCTTAAAAACCTAAAGCTAATTTTTAGAAACTAATTGTATGAATTTCTTTCTAATGAGTGACTGTCTAACCTGACAGAAATGTTGTCGCACATGAAAATGTTAGGATAAAATTTTCAAAATATAAACGTTTGGATGCCAAAGTCTTTCAAGGTCCTTTCATGATTTGTAGTTGTCTGCTGAGGTTTCTTGCCTTGTGCGAATATAATTTTATTTATGATGATTTTATTTGATTCGATGTGGGTAATTCGTAGCGAGTTATTTTTTCATTGATGAAAGCGCTTTTCAATATTTTAACAGCCACTATATAAAACTCTAGTGTTTTAATATAAATATTTATGCATAAATAATATCTAAATATGAATAAATAAATTTGTTTATATTTATGTTTGTGTGTGTGTTAGTGTATGTGTGGTGTTTGGTGTGTATAAGTGTGTGGTTGTGAGGTGTGTGCATGTTAAAAACTACGGTTAACAAATTCACAATCGCTACCAAAGCATGAAAATTATTTTTATAATTTTTGTTAGAAAAGTTTTTGACTTTAAGTAATAATCTGAATAAGTACAAACATCGGACGGAGAAAATTGAATATTAGCATTTGTGAATGACTAAATGAAGTAAAAGCAAAAAAATACTTGAAAAAAAAATATATATATATAACTAGATACATAATCAAATTATCAGTATAATATAATAATACATTTATGATTAGATGAATTAGACTTATTCATTACAAGTTGGCATTCTTTAATTTTATTTAAAATAACTCAAACATATTTTTTTACCATATCCATATAACTTTTTATAATTTTGAATAATTATGTTTCAAAAAAAAGTTTTTATTTAAGTTTTCGAACAAAATTTCCCGGAAAAGTTCCAAACAACTTGCTCCTCTGCGATATACCGACGTACCATCCATCGTCAAATATTTCTGTGACATGTACGATGTCCCCTTCTGTTAAATGCAATTCATCCAAGTCCTGTGGCTCGTAGGATTGGACGGCTATGCATCTGAAGCACGATTAAAATAATTTTTTTAATTAATGGAAAGACTGTTATTAGTTTTCTGTGTAGTAACATTTAAATTATAAAAACAGTGAAACTGATTGAAAAATTAAAATATTTCAAAATTGTAAAACTATTTTAAAACTTTTAAAAGTAATTTAATAAATCAATTTGCATATATATATATATATATATATATATATATATATATATATATATATATATATATATATATATATATATGTATATGTATGTATATAATTTTTAAAAATATTATCAAAGAACGTAACCCTTACTCAACAAATGGAAGCATGTTGGCGGCATTGAGATTTGGTTCTTGAGGCAGATTCAACAGTTCGTAATGTTGCACCTCATCTGCCCAAGATGCCAACTTAATTTTTGGCGATAAACATTTGGCATTTATTTGAAACTCCAAAGATCCACTCTGCCAGTTATCTTTTTCTACTACTAGAAGATTTTTTGATGCGTTTGAGATAAAAGCGTTCGTGGGTTTGCCGTCATCTGATTTGTAAACGTTGTTAACTTGGATCGTAATTCTGTTCGTGTTGCGATCGACATTGCTGCAGTTATCATTATTGTTGTGGTCAACTATCTGACTGTGAGTGGTTAGGAGAATGTCATTCAAGTTCGGAGCCACGGAAGCATTTTTTAAAGAGTGTGACTCGATAGTGTCGGCGTTGTTCGCTTTTGCGTCTCCAGTTTCGCTCGTCTGAATGTTGTGATGTTTCAAATCGTTTCTAGTTTCAAAGTTAGAAAAGTTTGTTGAGTCTTTATTGTCATGTTTGTGTTG